TAAGGCTGCGACTTATCCTGGAACGTATTGACATTGCACATGTCAAGGCCTACAAACTTCGAATACAAGAGCGGTCAATACATGTTTGTAAACTGTCCAGCAGTCTCACCGTTTGAGTGGTATGCAAAAATCACTCTTTAAGAGACAACAACTCTAAACTCATCTCAATATCATCTCACGTGATTATATATATATATATAACTACATGCATCCATTTTCAATAACTTATGCACCACATGACGAGTATTTAAGTGTTCATATAAAATCACTTGGAGATTGGACAAAGGCTATCAAAGGAGTTTTCTCCGAGGTCTTTTTTACTTCTAAATCTCTCAAAATTTTAAGAAATATTATAAGTCTTGAAGTCGGGGAAAGATAGTTAATTTGAGAAAGATTTTGTGTTATATCTCAGGTATCTATGCCACTTCCGGTCGGAGAGATGTCGCATGGTGCAAATAATTCCGAGTAAGTTTTTTATTTTTTTGGGCAAAATAATTCCGAGTAAATATATTCACAAATTTGACACAAAAACCAACAGTAAGTATAAACAAAAATTTGAAAAATCGCTAAAAGTATACATATACCATTATGTTTTCTTGGACTATTATTCTACCTAAGAAAACTTAGTGTTTTTTATTTTGTTATGGCAATGACCCCTCCTTCCACAGTTTCCCGAGAATTATGATTGATGGTCCGTACGGCGCACCAGCACAAGACTACAAGAAATACGAGGTGGTTCTGCTGATCGGCCTTGGGATTGGAGCCACCCCAATGATAAGTATTATTAAGGACATAATCAATAATACGGAGACCAAAGAACTTGCTCAACTTGACCTAGCGAAGGTGGGATCACAACATGAGCCACAAAGTGAAAAAGAAACTTTCAAGATGCGAAGGGCTTACTTCTATTGGGTAACAAGGGAGCAAGGCTCATATGATTGGTTCAAGAACATCATGAACGAGATTGCTGAGCGGGACAAAAACAAAGTCATAGAACTACACAACTATTGCACTAGCGTCTATGAAGAAGGAGACGTTCGTTCAGCGTTCATACATATGCTTCAGTCTCTAAACCATGCCAAGAGTGGTTTAGACATTGTCTCTGGGACCAAGGTTATGTCCTACTTTGCCAAACCTAATTGGGAAAACATTTACAAACAGATAGCCATGGATCACCCTGGCTCTAATGTTGGTAAGCTCTCTCACTTTCCCTCATACATGGTTGGTTAATTTGGTTCTCTTGTAACAAGATTTAATTTTGATGCATTTTTAAAGACATGCTTGCATCGACTTGCAAGAAATTCTCAATGGCATATCGCACTATCGACTCATATCATGCAAAGATTAGCTTAGTATTAGACGAATATTAGATGTATATTCGATATCTTCTGAATTGTATATTTTCCATTCTAGATAAGTTCATATCTCCTTAGAATCAGGAAAGTCTAGGTTGTATAAATACTAAACCTAAGGGTTTGTGAAATAACAAGATCATATATTCATCCTTTTAAAGTTTCTCATGGTATCAGAGCAAGAAACGATCTAATTTTTTTTTTTTCCTTCGTTTTTCTTTTGACCTAAATCAAGCTTGATCTCTTCTAAGCTTGATTCCTCTTATCATTATCAAAACTCTGTTCTCATTCACGAAAACAGAGGATTATTTTGGCATCCAGTCTCGATTTTATTCACAAAAATCTTGACCTAATCTCTCTGTTTTTTCCTTCTAAACGAAAAACAGAAGCATCCTTCATCATCATCTTCATCGACTTTATTATCATCTCCGTATTGCTCATCTGTGAACCATGGCTCTTGCAAACGTCCCCACAGAACCAAAACGCAAAACCATCTCTCCTTATGACCTCTCATCAAACGACAATCCTGGCGCTATAATCTCTCAACCACTGCTCACTGGTACAAACTATGACGAATGGGCCATCAATTTCCGTATGGCACTCAGCTCGCGCAAGAAGTTTGGCTTCCTTGACGGAAGCATTCCAAAACCAGCAGCTAATTCTCCTGACCTCGAAGATTGGATCGCCAATAATCATCTATTGGTGGGTTGGATTAAACAAACAATCGACCCCAAGATACGCTCATCTATATCTACTCGTGAAATTGCTAAAGAACTTTGGGACATCATTAAGAAACGATTTTCAATCAAGAGTGGAGCAAGACTACAACAATTACGCAATTCATTGGCAACTTGCAAACAGAACGGATCCAGCATCGATGATTATTTTGGAAGACTAACCAAAATTTGGGATGCTATCTCTGAGTGTATGAACTCAAAACGCTGCAACTGTGGTAAGTGTGAATGTGATTTAAATACTGCTCATGACAAGGAACGTGAGACACTGCGAATTCACGATTTCCTCTCTGGCCTCGATGACGCTACACATGGTGTTATCCGATCCCAAATTTGCGCCATCTCACCTCTTCCAGATCTTGATAGTGTTTATCAAACTGTTGTTCAGAACGAAACAATTCGTTCAAGTATATCTCAAGAAACTACGGTGATGAGCTTTGCTTCTCGCATACCATCATCAAACTCTATGTCTCGGCCCGATTCTATTCGGACACAAGACGTGTCCCGTCAATCCATTGGAGGAACATCACGTCCTCCGAATCGTGATCCCTCACGTAAATGTACTGGCTGTGGTAAGATGGGTCATGAAGTCAGCGGCTGTTTCAAGATAGTAGGATATCCCGATTGGTGGGAAGAACGCAAGAACTCTCGCAGTGACAATCGAAATTCTTCTTTCGGCCGTGGTCATGGCTCATCTCCTCAAGTTAATAGCACACAAGTCATTGGTGCTAACTCAGTTTGTCTCCCAGACATATCACCTATCTCCGACAAAGATCGTCAAGGTCTAAGTGGCATTACCGATGATCAATGGAGTATCATTAAACGAGTCGTCAATGAAAAGTCCAAATCGGATCAGTTAAGTGGTAAGAACAATTCGATATCTTGGATTCTAGATACTGGTGCCACCCACCACATGACTGGTCGGAGTGACATTCTTGAAGAAGTTCGTAACATTATTCCGGTTTGGGTCAAGTTACCAAACGGACGCGACTCTCTTGCCTCCAAACAAGGCAACATTCGTCTCTCACGGAGACTTACTTTACACAATGTTTACCTCGTTGATGGATTTGATACTAATCTTATTTCTGTGGGACAGCTGGTCACTGAAAATTTTTTGGTTGGGCAAATCATTGATAAGCTCTTGATTTTGCAGGACCGCACTTCGAGGACGCTGATTGGAGTTAGTGAGCGAGTGGGAGAGGGGCTGTATCAATTTCAAGAGATCGCGACCGTGACATCTTTGCAAACAAGTGTTCGTGATGAATCTGTTTTGTGGCATCGACGATTGGGTCATCCATCTTCTCGTGTTGTTGGCATGGTTCCTGGAATTCATGGTGTTAGTAGTAGTAGTGAGCTTTTGTTTCAGAATTGTGATGTTTGCCTTAGAGCTAAACAAACACGTCAAAGTTTTCCTATCAGTTTGAATAATGCAAAATCCACTTTCGATTTGATACACTGTGATCTATGGGGTCCGTACCGCACTACCGCTTTATGTGGCTCACGCTATTTTCTAACTATCGTTGATGACTACTCTCGAGCGGTTTGGGTCTATCTTCTTCCTGACAAAGCCAACGTTGCACGACATCTTACAGATTTTGTGGCTCTTGTTGAAAGACAATTCTCCAAGAAAATCAAAACAATTCGCAGCGATAACGGAACGGAGTTCATGTGCTTATCGAATTTTTTTCGCACCAAGGGAATTATTCATGAGACATCTTGCGTTTACACACCACAACAAAATGGACGGGTGGAACGTAAACATCGCCATATCCTCAATATTGCTCGTGCTCTCCGTTTTCAAGCTGCTCTTCCGATTGACTATTGGGCTGAATGCGTTCTCACAGCCGTCTATCTCCTTAACCGTACTCCTTCACAGATCTTGAAGGGTCACACACCATATGAGCGACTATATGGTCGTTCCCCATCCCTCAATCATCTTCGAATTTTTGGATGCTTAGCTTATGCTCATAACACGAATCAAAAAGGTGATAAATTCGCTTCTCGGAGTAGGAGATGCATTTTTCTTGGATATCCTTCTGGAAAGAAAGGATGGAAACTATACGACCTTGATGAAGAAGTCACATTCATATCACGTGATGTTGTGTTCTGTGAAGAAACGTTTCCTTTTACCATCAAAGATAATCTTCCCTCTTGCATTGAATCTCCTATCTCCACCGCAACCACGAGCTCCACTGATGATATAGACATCGTTTCACCTTCTGTACCAGTCCCTAATACACCACCAGAAATGTTACAACCGGTGTCTATGACAGAACCAACTCCAACACCAGACGAGTCACAGACTCCCGCTGTGGTTGCACCGGCTCTAGCTCGCAAAACAGCACACGAAGAAACCGTTGAGGACTCTGTTTCTCCATCATCTTCTCCGATTACACAACCAACACGGGCCGTGGTTGATACTAATGACACATCCACTGCTGACCTTGATATTCCACATGATTCACTTGGCAAGGGAAAACGTCAAAAATTTCCTTCTGTTAAGCTTCGTGACTACGTTGTTCAAACATCATCTCTCTCCACGCCCCCTCTCCCCGCTCCTAACACGTCCTCTGATCAGTCGTCCTCAGGTACACCTTATCCCATCTCTAATTATGTTTCATGTGACAGATTTTCCTCCACTCACCGTGGCTATTTAGTCACGTTAACTACTAATATTGAGCCAACAAGTTTTATGGAAGCTATGAAACATTTTGTATGGAAGAAAGCTATGGGTTCTGAAGTTACTGCACTTGAACTTAACAAGACATGGGACTTAGTTGATCTTCCTCCTAATAAGAAAGCATTAGGTTGCAAATGGGTCTACCGTATCAAGCTTAACTCTGATGGGACTATCGAACGTTATAAAGCTCGTCTCGTCGTGCTAGGTAATCATCAAAAGGAGGGTTTGGATTATAAAGAAACGTTTGCTCCGGTAGCCAAGATGTCCACTGTCCGGTTATTTCTTGATATTGCTGCCAAACAGAATTACGAAGTGCATCAAATGGATGTTCACAACGCTTTTCTTCACGGTGATCTTCATGAAGAAGTTTACATGAAACTACCACCGGGATTCTCTACTCCAGGAGATACACGAGTTTGTAAATTGAAGAAATCTTTATATGGTCTCAAACAAGCACCTCGGTGTTGGTTCGCTAAACTGGCCGATGCGCTTGAAAAGTATGGATTTAAACAAACTCGGTCAGACTATTCTCTCTTCATTTACATGAAAAACGGCATCAATCTTCGAATTTTGGTTTATGTCGATGATCTCATTATTTCCGGCAACTCTCCCACGGCCATCCAATCCTTTAAAGATTATCTTAGTACTTGCTTTCACATGAAGGACCTCGGTTTTCTTAAGTATTTTCTCGGAATTGAAGTGGCTCGCAGTCCGCTTGGTTTTTATCTATGCCAACGAAAATATGCAACCGAAATTGTCACAGAAGCTGGTCTCCTTGGATGCAAACCGGCTGGTTCACCAATTGACCAGAAACACAGCTTGGCTCGTGCTAATGGTCCTTTTCTTGAAGATCCAGAAACCTATCGTCGCTTAATAGGTCGTCTTGTGTATCTTGGCAATACTCGGCCTGATCTCACCTACTCCATACACATTCTCTCTCAGTTCATGCGGGAACCGCGTGCAGACCATTGGCTCGCAGCCCTCAAAGTGGTTCGTTATTTGAAAGGGACTCTTGGTCAAGGAATCCTTTTAAAAGCTGACTCTCCTATGCATTTCACTGGTTGGTGCGACAGTGACCATGCAGCTTGTCCATTAACGCGACGATCTCTTTCAGGCCGGATTGTTCAATTCGGCGACTCTCTCATCTCGTGGAAGACCCAGAAACAGGATGTTGTTTCAAACTCCTCCGCCGAGGCAGAATATCGTTCTATGTCAGAACTCGCAAGGGAACTCAAATGGCTTAAAGCACTTCTCTCGGATTTCGGCATTGTTCATGACAAACCAATGACAGTGTTCTGCGACAATCAAGCGGCATTACACATAAGTTCAAATCCAGTCTTCCATGAAAGAACCAAGCATATCGAAAAAGATTGTCATCTTGTTCGTGACGAGATTGTTAAGGGTAACATTAATGCGTCTCACGTCTCCACGACAATTCAACTAGCTGATATACTTACTAAAGCATTGGGCAAAGCAGAGTTCGATGCATTTCTACTCAAGTTGGGCGTTCAAAACTTACACGCTCCAACGTGAAGGGGGGTATTAGACGAATATTAGATGTATATTCGATATCTTCTGAATTGTATATTTTCCATTCTAGATAAGTTCATATCTCCTTAGAATCAGGAAAGTCTAGGTTGTATAAATACTAAACCTAAGGGTTTGTGAAATAACAAGATCATATATTCATCCTTTTAAAGTTTCTCACTTAGGCTCTAGCTTTTTTTTTTCGGTCTTGCATTATGCGGTAACCCGGTAGTGTCGTACACAGACACTAGCAAAAACTATTATACTACATGTCTTAGTAAACTTTATGAGTTTCACATGTTCAAAGTCATTGGTGCATGTTATAGTAACTATGCTCTAGAATATATTTTTTGGTATTATAAAATATCATTGTGTGATTATGATTAATTACTATAAAAAAAAAAGAAGAGAATGATACAAGTTGACATAAACGTGCAGGAGTGTTTTATTGTGGAGCCCCGGCATTGACAAAGGAGTTAAGGAATTTAGCTTTGGAATTCGCACATAAGACAAGAACTAGATTCTCCTTCCACAAAGAAAACTTTTAAAGATAATGAAGCCTATACTCACAATGCTGATAAAGTATGATGACCAACAAGATGATAACTATTATGGAGTATGTGTGATTGTGTGTTATGCTTTTGCTTTTTGAAAAGGGTAATATTCTACCCGAGGGACCTCAAATCTATATATATATGGAATATGCGTGATTGTGTGTTATGCTTCTGCTTTTTGAAAAGAGTAATATTCTACCCGATCGACCTTAAATCTATATATATAATAGGAGAGTTGTCTCTCCATCTAGGGTATCCACATCATCATCCAAGTCATCATATTGTAATTTTGTGTGGGATCTATATATTTTAAATATTAAAAAACCAAAAAAAAAAAAAATTTATAACACAAAATATGAAATTTTTGAATAGAGATTGGATAAATATAAAATTAAATAATTGTATCTTAAACATAATGAGTAAATATTCTCAAATGACTAGAGATAAGAAAAAAAGAACTTATCATATATTTCAATGATAAAACAATTATTTTTAAGTTATTTAGTAAAATATAAAAAATAAGAATTATAAATATACTAAATTTATAGATTTTTACTGAAAATAAAAAGTAATTCATCTATGAAAAATACACATTTAAAATTAAAAATATAAAAATATATATTTAATGTTAAAGTATCTATTCATGATAATGATTAAAAATAAGAAGGATTGAGTACTTATTATTATTTATAATTATAATTAATATAAATAGTCACATTAATAAAATTTCTATATTATCTGTGTTTTCTAAATTAAAAAATGGTGGGCTTTTTAAAAATCAAGTGAATGCCGAAAAAAAAAAACTAAAT